CAGTGTTTCTTCCAGACTTTTTTCTCCGGGGGGGGGGGGTGGTGGGCGGTAGACTTTCTTCGGGGGGGGGGGGGGGTGGCGGACACTGTTACAAGTATATATTTTCTATATAAATTATATACATTTCATTTCGTTCGGGGGAGGGGGGGCGGTAGAATTTTTTCGCTCGCACCCCCCCCCCCCCCGAAGAGATGCCTGGAAGAAACTCTGACCATATCACGTCTCGTTGTATCACGTTAAACTCTGTTATATCACAATTGTGAACGTGACACGGTAGCTTGAAACAAAAGTAGCCCAGGTCATTCGAAACTCGAATCACTCAACAAAACTAGATCATTCGAAACTCGAATCATTCAACAAAACGAGGTCACTCGAAACTCGAATCACTCAACAAAACGACGTCACTCGAAACTCGAATCACTCAACAAAACGAGGTCACTCGAAACTCGAATCATTCAACAAAACGAGGTCACTCGAAACTCGAATCACTCAACCTAACGAGGTCATTCGAAACTCGAATCATTCAACAAAACGAGGTCATTCGAAACTCGAATCATTCAACAAAACGAGGTCATTCGAAACTCGAATCATTCAACAAAACGAGGTCATTCGAAACTCGAATCATTCAACAAAACGAGGTCACTCGAAACTCAAATCACTCAACAAAACGAGGTCACTCGAAACTCGAATCAGTTAACAAAACGAGGTCATTCGAAACTCGAATCATTCAACAAAACGAGGTCACTCGAAACTCGAATCACTCAACCTAACGAGGTCATTCGAAACTCGAATCATTCAACAAAACGAGGTCATTCGAAACTCGAATCATTCAACAAAACGAGGTCATTCGAAACTCGAATCATTCAACAAAACGAGGTCACTCGAAACTCGAATCACTCAACAAAACGAGGTCACTCGAAACTCGAATCACTCAACCTAACGAGGTCATTCGAAACTCGAATCATTCAACAAAACGAGGTCATTCGAAACTCGAATCATTCAACAAAACTAGGTCAGTCTTAAAACAGGATCGTTAGTTGCCCGGTTTGTTCTTAACGCGGGTCGCCCGTACCCGGGTTATAAAAAAACATGCGTCATTCGTGACGCCCTGCTTGACGCGCGTCAGTCGTGTCCCGTGCTCGACTTATTAATTGTTCTTCTGGTATTCTCTTTGAAGAACGCGAATTTTAAAATATCGACCATTTACGGTATTTTAAAAAATCCTAACTAAAACCAAAAGTAAAATAATGTATAACTCAAAATCGCTAGTAAAATAATTTATAACTAAAAATCTGCATATAAAAAAATTTATAAATAAAAATCTGCAGATAAAATAATTTATAACTTAAAATCTGCAAGTAAAATAATTTATAACTAAAAATCTGCAAGTAAAATAATTTATAACTAAAAATCTGTAGATAAAATAATTTACAAATAAAAATCGGCAAGTAAAATAATTTACAAATAAAAATCGGCAAGTAAAATAATTTACAAATAAAAATCGGCAAGTAAAATAATTTACAAATAAAAATCCAAGTAGAAGAAAAAAAACTTTTTTGATGAGAAGATCGGATGTTGCTGTCGTGATCAGGAAATACTTAACGTGGTTGGCGTCGTGTAGTCCTACAGATTGGGTCGTCACTTCAAGATGGCGGGGGGGGGGGTAGTTACGTTTGGGTTCAAATGCCAATAAATCAATACAGCATACAGTGAGAAAATATGGGAAACGTTATCGGTACCACAAGCGATGGAGGAATAGGGAGGCGGGGGGGGGGGGGAGTATTGCGGTTAAAGACTATTTTTTCTTTATTTCTAGGCCAAACTCCTAACATTCCATACACCGAGCCGCTCACTGAGCCGTCCAAACATCCAACCGTCTAAACAACCTAAGGTCCAAACACTGAGCCGTCCAAACACTGAGCCGTCCAAACATCCAACCGTCTAAACAATCAAAGATCTAAACAGAGCCTGATAATTTATGTCTGATGATCCTTCTTAACATGTGTATTCCTCCAATGAGAGGCACATGACATCAATGACACCAACAACACATGACATCTATGACACCTCATCTTCCTGTCATTTAGCCGTCAAGCACCAAGTACAAACATTGGCTGTCTACGATCTGAAATGTGAGGGTGGGGCTGAGCAGACGGGATGAAATTTCTGGAATACGCGGGTCTTCGGCTTTTCCTGTCGGCTGTCAATTGTTCGGCCTGTCCCACTAGCCACACTACAACATGAGAAACCAGTGTTTCTTCCAGACATTTTTTTCCGGGGGGGGGGGGGGCACTTGAAATTTTCGGGGGGGGGGGGGGCGGTAGACTTTCTTCGGGGGGGGGGGGCGGACACTGTTAAAAGTATATATTTTCTATATAAATTTCATTTCGTTCGGGGGGGGGGGGTAGACTTTTTTCGAAGAAACTCTGTGAGAAACAGGTAAACTCTACTGCGTCTAAACAAATGGACATCTGCAAGGGTACTTTATTTTTATAATGAGATATCTAAACTTTCTATAAAACAATGCCACAGCTATACATAAAAAACACCCTATGACATTTGTTTAGCCAACCAGTGGACTATTTACAATGGCCATGCCATAGTTTTTTCTTAAAACTTTTCTTAAAACTCTTGTGTCAATTGGCTAGACAGTCTCACGTTGTAGCACCTCAAACATGAAAACTTGTAAAGTTAATTAAATTTTCTTTCAAGAAATTAAACACGCATTATGGAAAATAAACCGGGAGTGATCTCCCCTAAACTTTCTCGAATATTATTATATAAAATAACAGGGGATGGGAACTCGGGCTATAGACATGATTTTTAATCCATTTTAAATACTTAAAGTTTTAAAAATAGAATAAAATCTCGTAGACAATCAATTGCACACCAAGTGAACGCCTTATAAAAAAGCGCATAATAGTGCGCAATATTATTAGTACTTTTAAAATTTACATTAGTTTTTTTGAGAAATCGGAAGTAGCGTAAAGTACTACTTCCAGTCAACGGAAATTACTCAAAATATTACAGAAGGTAGAGAATTAGATATTTTACTTACATGTGAAATATCATTCATCTATCTGAAATAGTACTCAAGTTATAGGCTTTTGAAAAATTCAAAGTAGAAAAAGTACCACTTCCGGTTGTCGGAAATCGCTCAAAAGTTGATACGGATCTACGATTTTGATAAAATACTTATATATGAAATTTCATCAACCTAGCTGTAAAGGTACTCAAGTTATCGTGTTTACACACGGACAGACAGACACACAGACACACAGACACACAGACAGACACACAGACATACGGACAAGATTGCAAAATTATGTTTTTCCGTATCAGTGAGGTGTAAAACGTCGAGATTTGTAAAAATCTCGATTTTTTTTTTTTTTGCACGATTACAATACTTTCTCTATACTTCGTATATACGAGAAAGTAAAAAAATAATAAAGACATAGAAGTAACATCATCCTTGGCGCGGTGCGATATTCCGAATTGATTTTTCTTTTGGCGCTGATTCTAACCGATAAACCCAAAGTTATTATGGTCCAAAATGTTCGCTTGTCTGGGCTACATTAAAAGAGGTTTGTATTCCCACAAGTTTTTTTTTAATCTTTCAGTGTCGACCAGTTGTTACATCATCTTATCAAGTAGCGTCTCACCTCAACTTTTACATGGCCGACTCACCGCGATTTTACAACATCACCGACTCACCGCGATTTTACAACATCACCGACTTACCGCAATCTTTCGCAACAATGAAAGAGATGAGGCAACAACAGTCACCACCAGAATTTGTCATAGAGTGTTGCTTCACGTCATCGATCATATACTGGTGTGTCACACCCTTCGGACCCATGTCACATTTCTACTGACCCATGTCACATTCATACTGACCCATGTCACATTTCTACTGACCCATGTCACATTTCTACTGACCCATGTCACATTTCTACTGACCCATATCACATTTCTACTGACCCATGTCACATTTCTACTGACCCATGTCACATTTCTACTGACCCATGTCACATTTCTACTGACCCATGTCATATTTCTATTGACCCATGTCACATTTCTATTGACCCATGTCACATTTCTACTGACCCATGTCACATTTCTATTGACCCATGTCACATTTCTACTGACACATGTCACATTTCTACTGACCTATGTCACATTTCTACTGACCAATGTCACATTTCTACTGACCCATGTCACATTTCTACTGACCCATGTCACATTTCTACTGACCCATGTCACATTTCTATTGACCCATGTCACATTTCTATTGACCCATGTCACATTTCTACTGACCCATGTCACATTTCTATTGACCCATGTCACATTTCTATTGACCCATGTCACATTTCTACTGACCCATGTCACATTTCTATTGACCCATGTCACATTTCTACTGACACATGTCACATTTCTACTGACCCATGTCACATTTCTACTGACCCATGTCACATTTCTACTGACCCATGTCACATTCTATTTAAATAATAAAGTTGACGAGTTTACATGACACTGACACAAACATCAAATATCCATGACACAGACATCAAATATCCACGACACAACCGTTTGACCGAGTTTACCCCCCCCCCCCCCCCCCGACTGATATCAAAGTGTGGTATGTCTGTAGTGATTGGATTACCCCGCACAGAATGACATCAATGATGAAATGACTCTAATGATGACACCAACCCACAATGTATCAATTATACAACAACCAGAACAAATCAATTTAACCTGATTGTAAAATTTTCATGATAATTAAAAAAAAATAAAAAAAAAAAAAACAGAAAAAAAAACATCATTAGCGAGGTTGTGTGAATGGAGGTTTGTTCGCTGTTCGTGTTTTCGTTTGTAGGCGACCCGAAAATGTCATGGCTTCGATCGATAGACAACACACACACACATACACACATATACATACACACTCGCGCGCGCACTTCAACAGACAAGCTCACGCACAACAAGGCCAACATTACCAGCCACAGAATCCTTAACTCCATCCCTACACACAAGACGATTCCAGAATCTCCTCCGTGTCGCAGCTACACACGTCCACACAAACAACCACCTCTTGCAGCAAGATCCCGGGTGGGGAGCGAGAGGGCTGGAATCCACCAGAATCCACCGATACGGCTCCGGAATCAATCGAAGACGGAAAACCCTACACACTGTATGTGTCCCTCGCTCGATTCTCTCGGCTCAGTGCTGCAAGGGGAGGGAATCACAAGGGGAGAGAAATGGAGAGAGAAAAAACCTGGGGTGGACGCCATTCCTCTCACAGACTGCTGTCTCTGCTGGACCACAAGCGCTTCTAACGGTGCCAATAATGGGATGGATGGGGGGAGGGGGTGGACAATTCCGGCATCGGGGTATCGATCTAGAGGGCGAGTGTTGAGAATCGAATCCATTCCGTGGAGTTGAGAATCGAATCCGTTCTGTGGAGAGAGTTGAGCAGACAGATGCCCGGTGTGTTTAATTGAGTTGGATCAAAGACGTGTCCAAGCCTTGATGAGATTTTATTTTGGTCTTCAAAAAAAAAAATTCGGGCAACACCGTTTGTATAGATTCCACCTAAAGAAGATGTCAATGTTTGTCCACGTTAAAAGAAATCCATATTTGTCTATGTTAGACGATGTCAATGTTTGTCCATATCAGACGTCAATGTCAATGTTAAAAGATGTCAATGTTTGTCCACGTTAAAAGATGTCAATGTTTGTCAAGTTTCAGGAACTGATGGGTTATCTGTGTTTTCTCCAACAAACTATTTTGTCTTATTTTATGACCTTTTGATATGGGACCTAATACATCACGACATTCCCCTCGATTTGTAGGTCATCATAGAAATTGGTATAAGTCTTCCTATGATGTTTCTGTCATATTTTGTGTTCAATATGTACCGGTACACATGTTACAAAGACAGAAGGATGTTTCTAATTGCAATACATCTGTTTCTATATGGGGTAGATTTGTTCTATGTTCAACAGATATGTTTCTATGTTCTATAGATCTAGTTCTATGTGTAATATATCTGTTTCTATGCTTTAATAGATCTCTTTCCATGTTCTACAGATCTGTGTTTCCCTTGTCTGTTGCTACAAAGACCTGTTTCTATAAGTGTCGACGGACAATGCAAAACGTGGACAAGAATCTCCGCATCAAGTCAAGTAAAACAGACAGTACAGAGGTGTAGAGGGTTTACAGACAGTGCGAGACTCCAGTGGGTACTTTAAGGCCCGGATGTATTGGTGGTTCATGGATCAGTACACACCTGACCCCAACCCCATTGACACGCCTGACCCCAACCCCATTGATACGCCTGACTCCAACCAACCCCATTGACACGCCTGACCACGACCCCATTGACACGCCTGACCCCAACCCCATTGACGCACCTGACCACGACCCCATTGACACACCTGACCACGACCCCATTGACACGCCTGACCACGACCCCATTGACACGCCTGACCCCAACCCCATTGACACACCTGACCACGACCCCATTGACACGCCTGACCACGACCCCATTGACACGCCTGACCACGACCCCATTGACACGCCTGACCACGACCCCATTGACACGCCTGACCCCAACCCCATTGACACACCTGACCACGACCCCATTGACACGCCTGACCCCAACCCCATTGACAAGCCTGACCCCAACCCCATTGACACGCCTGACCCCAACCCCATTGCATTACCTTGATGACGGTGAAACAATGGCTGGCACTACCCTAATTAATACACAGAGAATTATTCATCACAAAATGGCTGCCCGGGGGATCGGGTGTGAATGTCTGACCCCCCTACAAGTGTTCGCCACAACATCAATCGGACAGCGCCACCTTTAGCTCACAGCTTTCTGTCCTCTGATTGGCTACCCCCCCCCCCCATTCTCTCTCCCCCCCCCCCCCCTCCGTTATACTGCCACGGGCTCTAAATAACCTTGGATCGAACACATCAATATTTCACAACAATGCAACGTAAAAACAATTATTCCAAGTTTTTATTGGCCTACAAACAAATACTACCATGATTCTTTCCCTACTTTATGATTGCTGTAAGAATAAACTTAGTCTCTCGCGTCCACCCCAATAGAATATTTCTTTCTTCTCTTCTCTCCCTTTTATTTTTCTAATTAAGATATCCTAATTACGCGTCTAGACGTAGAACTGGTGTGATTGAAGCATAAAATATTGATGGTCAAACTTGTAGACAAAGGTGCAAAATAGTACAAATTACCTGACTGATCTTTGGTCAGAATTACCTGAGTGATCTTTAGACAGAAATACCTGAGTGATCTTTGGTCAGAATTACCTGAGTGATCTTTGGTCAGAATTACCTGAGTGATCTTTGGTCAGAATTACCTGAGTGATCTTTGGACAGAATTACCTGAGTGATCTTTAGACATAATTACCTGACTGATCTTTAGACATAATTATCTGACGACCACACCGATTAACAACTTCACTACAATCCACGTTTGTCTTAATATTGGAAATTATAGCAATTCAATGCAATCAGCACAACAATCAGATAATTCATGTGTTATTAGCATAACAATCCCGTGCTATTAACATAACAATCATGTGCAATTAACACAACAATCAAGTGCAATTAGCACAACAACCGTGTACAATTAGCACACCAATCATTAGCACACCAATCATGTACAATTAGCACACCAATCGTTTACAATTAGCACAACAATCATGTGCAATTAACACAACAATCATGTAACACCCTTTACAATCCTTCAACTTACACACCAAGAGAAACATTTACCCGATTCCATGTAATATGTCATTCAAGCTAGCCACAAATAAAGTGTATCCCCCCCACTCTTCCCCCTCCATCTCCTCCTCCCCCCCTGTTCCATCCCCACGAGTCCCGACGTTGCAGAGAAACCCACCAAACGTCACAATGACTGTAAGGCTTTCTGCCGCACACAAAAATACACTGAGCATGTTTTTGTTGTTGGCAGAGAGTAGCTTGGCCGTGTCTGTCTTCCTCATTAGCGGTTATTTCATTTGTTGCGCAGTTGGTTAGCCAAACCCATTGTCGCGTTGTCAATTTGTCGTGTTTCAAGTTACTTTTTGTGCTAATCCATGTCATATGTCGTGTTTTAATCCTTATCATTTGTCATGTTTTGATCTGTCATTTGTTTTAGTCCATGTCTTTTGTCATATTTTGATCTATGTCATTTGTCGTATTCTAGTGCATGTCATTTGTCGTGTTTTGATCTATGTCATTTGTCGTATTCTAGTGCATGTCATTTGTCGTGTTTTGATCTATGTCATTTGTCGTATTCTAGTGCATGTCATTTGTCGTGTTTTGATCTATGTCATTTGTCGTATTCTAGTGCATGTCATTTGTCGTGTTTTGATCTATGTCATTTGTCGTATTCTAGTGCATGTCATTTGTCGTGTTATGACCCTCGCCATTTGTCGCGTTACAAACGAAGGTATTTGTCGTGTAAGGATCCAAGTCATTTATCATGATTCTCTGCTGTGTTACAATATGTTGTGATATACCAAGTTATTACAAGTATGGTTATTTCTTGGATGTTTAATATATTCCATTGTTAAAAGGGGGGGGGGGGGAGGGGTGCAAGACGGCAACTGAGAGAAGGCATATGAGGTTATTTTGTCTCCATTAAAGATCCAATCCAATCTTGCTAGGAATATTCATGCGATATTAACCCTGTTATGCTAAAAATAGATCTTTTTCTAAAAATAAAAAAAGAAAGAGCTATAATACATTCTGACAAACAAGAAAATCTGCATCAAAATATTTGAATAGCATCCTATAGGAGTTGAACAATGCCAGTGGGTATCGATACTACAAAAATCGATTACAACCAGGCAAGTCCTCTTTTAAGTTTCTCACGGTTGTGACGTAGGAGGCTGGCCAACCCCATTATGCACGGTCTAATGGCAAACTGCATCCGATTGGTCCATTTTTATTTGGGGGGAAATTGTACAGCAAATCACATCTATCGATAAAAGATCTATCATAACAAACTAGTGATAAAACTACTGTGTTCAGGGTATTCGTGTTGAATAAATGTTGATATCGCATAGGCCTACTTGAGAATAAACAAACAAAAAAATATATCGGGATTGTTTGTTAAATCCATAGGCTAGTCAGCAACAGTTTGTGTAAGGATTTCTATAGACTATCACCATGCTATAGGGCAGTATAGGGGGTACGGCTAATCAAGACCACACATTGCAAGGGTTTCTATATATAGGGGACTACGACATGCAATATTATATATGATGTATACATAACCAGTTAAGCTTGTTTCAATAAACTAGATTGGAAAAAATTAACCTCTGACAAAAAAAACTAACGATCGAGGTCGTACTCCCCCCCCCCCCCCGTCAGAGTTTCTTCCAGGCATCTCTTCGGGGGGGCGAAGCCCCCCCGAAAAATTTTTACCGCCCCCCCGAACGAAATGAAATTTATATAATTTATATAGAAAATATATACTTTTAACAGTGTCCGCCCCCCCGAAGAAAGTTTACCGCCCCCCCGAAGATTTCAAGTGCCCCCCCGGAGAAAAAAGTCTGGAAGAAACACTGCCCCCCGTGTGTAAAAATACGTCACGGACCAGTGATATGCCCTGCAACCTTCCATCAGAGCTGAGTGCACTCAGCTGAGTCTTACAGAGTCAAGAGTCATGTGCTCAACGACGCCGAGCCACTGAGAAGTTTCTGTTTACTGGTACTACAAGTCTGTATTTAACAACTGCAGACATCCCATAATAATGTAGGCCAACTTGTTGCATGCCTAAATAAACTATTTTTCTAACCAACGAAAACTTGTTTGAAAAGGGAATGGAGCTTAACAGACAGAGCTCGATAACAACGGATGTTTCTGTTTTAGGTCTTTGTCAGAAAGAACAAAGTAAAATCCTCTAGTGCCTTTAATGACTAGCCACTACTCGCACGTGCTGTGACAAAAATGACAGATTTTTTTTTTGGTTCTGCTAAATGTAAACACAAGTCAATTTTGTTGTCACGATCTATGAGGTTACGTTAGTCGAGTATCTCATCATTTAGTTCAGGGAGTCGTGGTATTCAATCAATCTGATCTACGTCCATTACTTTTTTGATCTGGTGGTTGTTTCTTTAAAAAAAACTACAACTTTGTTAAAGTTTTGAATATCAAATACTGGACGAATGTATTTTCGTGTTACATGGGAGATAACTAGAATTTGTATTGACAATTTACCATCTGCCGGCGTTAACCAATAAAATTTCAACATGGGCAAGACAGTTCTTCTACCGTAAATGCCAGTATTAGATCCACCCCCACTCTACATCGTCTGGAAAGTGAAAGCATTGTAGAACTGGTTAAACAAAATGATTTCTTCACCCTTGCCATAAATAAGCATTGTGTGGTCTGCTGACCAGTGGCCTTCATTATCAGGTACCAATTAAAGCTGAGTTCCCAAGTTTTATAGAATCACCCAGAAACTGGTATTACCACTGACCAAAAGCTGTAATTTTAAATAAGAAAAGGTGAAAACTAAATCAGATTGCAAATGTTTATTGGATTTATCACACAGTTAAACCAGGTCCCTGTGTTTAGGTGAGGTAACAGTTTAACCAGGTATCTGTATTCAGGTGAGATAACAGTTTAACCAAATGAGACATACTTTGTAATCATATGTGTTAGTTCATGACCACTTCTTGTACACAAAAATGACAGTTTCATCAACTAAACAAAGACTTGTTAAAAAGACAATTATAAATAACATGAAACTGAAACAGTAGCTCTCTACTACACAATAAACCAAACGTGTAGACTCCTCACAAAACTATCAAATATTTCACCACAAATGTTTCTGACTTACTTAACTAAAGAACAGTAAATTCACATCATTTTTATTTGGGTATACATGCATAATTTGCATAACAAAATCATGATCAGCAAAACAGAACTGTTATATAATACATATGTGAATGCTTCACACAAATCTACCACTTTGGCCTTCACAAAAGGCGGTTATAAATGTCTTTCTTGTTCTAGGTGTAGAGTGGGGTTAAAGGTCAGGGTTCATCCTTTAATGACAGCAATAGGTCGGAGTTTGATACACTTTTTACTGATGCCAGCAGCATGACCTGTGTTATAAACATCAACACATTTTACCAGAGATTACGTAATAGAATGGACATAAAGATAAACCACAACACATTTTACCAGAGTTTATGTTATAGAAGATATATAAACAACAACACATTTTACCAGAGTTTATGTAATAGAATGGATGACATACAAACAAGAAAACATAAAGGCAAAAGTCAAAGAAAATGTAACCCAACTTACATGTGTCCACTACATCTGTTACATTTTTGTAGGATTCAGGGGCCTGTAAGTAAAAGATAAAGAGAACAATGTTAGAGCTTTTAACAACAATGTGTCACTGCTAATTCAACACATTTTAGCTACATCATACAACCACCTTTCAACCTAAGTGATCATGATTTGGTTACTAGCAATGTCTACTTTTACTGTACTGTGGCTACTAGCAATATCTTCTTTATTACTGTGATAAATCAGAGTTTAGATTAAACAGATATGCTCTATTTACCTGTGAAATAATTTATATCCTTAATCCAAAAATATTAAATTAGAAAACGTATTAATCCCTCTGACTGACATTCCCAATCAATTGTTACAAAACAACCTACTGACTTAAGATAAAAAAAAAACGGTTACCTCTTCCATGACCAGTTTGGGTGAGGCTATTCGTATGCTGATGCCCTGTTGCCGGAGTGCTTCAAGGACATCTGTGTATTCTAGATTCCTGCGAGATTTGGCTCTGGATAAAGCTCTTCCCTAATGTGAACAAAATTCAATCAATTCAAGTATCACAGGTCTATTTAGACAATTCAATAGATCTAAAATCTGCTATGAAAATTAAACAAGAAGGGTTGTAGTTTGGGATTGTCTAATATGTCACCAGATGACATAAAAAACATCTAAAGACATGACTGAGTCAACACTTACTGCACCATGACATGTAGTACCAAATGTCTCCACCATCCCCTGTTCTGTGCCTGTAAGGACGTAGCTACAGGTGCCCATTGTACCACCTATCAGAACTGGTTGGCCGGTCAGCTGTGTAAACAATAACAAATTACTTTGTGCTGCTAGAACTTGGGAATAGAAAGCTGGACACATGAGTTGTTTTTAACTTGAGTACAAACCACCATAGCTAAACATACAGGGTAAACTCACCTGGTAATCTACAGGGATAGGAGTGTGCGATATAGTCACTACCACACACCACCATAGCTAAATACACTGGATAAACTCACCTGGTAATCTACAGGGATAGGAGTGTGCGATATAGTCACTACCACACACCACCATAGCTAAATACACTGGATAAACTCACCTGGTAATCTACAGGTATGAGGGGGTGATGTGGAGGAAATGCCCTTGTTGAACCCTTCCGATGCACTAATAACGTCTTCTGTTTACCGTCTATAAAATGCTCTTCTACTTTGGCAATGTTGTGTGACACATCGTAGATGACATGCATGTCAAGGTCGTCTGGTGTACTGTTGAACATTTTTGCAAATGCCTGAAAACAAATTTCTCAATACTAAATGTTTCTGTGAGTTAGAACATGAAAAATTTCTTGATATTCTATTTAAATTTAACTACCACATTTTTCACAGCCATTTGTCAACTACTGCAACCCCTTACAGCATACAGACAACTTCTATTTTTACGTATGAATGAAATTCCAGGATAGTTGATGAAACATTAAGGAAACAAAGCAGACTCCTTGTCAAATAAAAAGAAAATGTCTTAACTGTCAACAATAAATTTAATATACCTTTTTTTTCGATGCTTTTAAATTTGATGTAAAAAAAGGATTAATAAATGATGAAACATAGCAAGAATGACTGATGTTTTAAAGACTATACTAAAGAAACGTACTGACCTGTCTAGTTAAAAATGTCATACTGCTCCTGTTGACCCAAGCATAGTTGGCTGCTGATGCCATGGCCTTGAGGTAGTCTTGACCTTCTGTTGACTGGATGTGGGCACAGGCCAGTTGACGATCATTCACATGAATTTCATCACGCTTCATGGCTTTCTCCATGGACACAAGGGCATCTACACATTTATACAACTACATTATAGTAATGCCACATATACACAAGGGCATCTACACATTTATACAACTACATTATAGTAATGCCACATAAACACAAGGGCATCTACATATTTATACAACTACATTATAATAATGGCACATAATTCAGGCCTTAAATACCTGTAAAAAAAGAGTGTTCTCACCTGTAGCCACCTGATGGCCCATGCCACGGCTCCCACTATGTATCATAACACACACTTGATCTTTGAACTCAATTCCCATTTTCTTAGCAGCATATTCATCAAATATTTCTTCCACAACCTGAATCTCAGCATAGTGGTTGCCTGCTCCCAGTGTGCCAAGCTGTTTTATGAAACAAAATTCATGAACCACCCAGTCATGTCTTAGTGTTGTACTAAAATTTGATTTTATATTTATTGTTGCTATTGCTGTACATTAATATAAAATAACAAGAAATAAATATTTGCTAAACCCACACCTACCTGGGGTAACCCTCGTTTCTTGGCTCTGCTGCTGACTTTGGAAGGATCAGCTTGCAGCATTCTGCCATACTCCTCACAGTGTTCCTTGTCTTCAGCCCATGCATAACCTACATGGACAGAAGATAGACTGCTAAATATGTCTTATTAATTCTTTAACTTTTCTAGTCTAATCCAATAAATTTCTGCCAATTTTGAAGTAGTGTTGTGAAATGGAAGTTTATTTTGAGAGAGAGTATTTATGTAGTAGGGGAGGTGCTGTGGTAGGGGAGAGTACAATACATAAGTTTTTACAATTCTTGTTTAGTTGGTCAAAGGGAAAGGTTGTTTATACCAGGAGTCCTGTCTGTGGAAGTGGAAGGCTGTGTTTGTATGATGAACTTTTTGAAGGGTTGTGTCATTATCCAACAAACTCTGAACCCTTCAAGCCCTATTGTTATAGTTTTCAAATGTACCCATGTTGTTCTAGTAAGCAGATCTGTACTAACAGAATTAGATGTTATGCCTCTCCCAGTTCCAATACAATGTATTCAGTTAAATACTATTTACACATGACAACACTATTTGTGGAGTGTTTTGTAGACATTAACATCAGGAATAGAACCAAAACAGTTGGGTTTACTGTTGTGCTCCTTTCACTAAACCCCAGCCACATCACACTAAAATCTCCAATATACAGAGCTAAAGAATGGAGTGAAGCTACTATCTATGGGAGATAACTTGTTGCTCAGACATACAAACCTTCTCTTAGTGACCAGTCCATCCCCATCTCTAGAGCTTCTTCAAGATTCCTGAGGCAAAATACAAACATCAGTGAAGTTTAAATGGTAAGTGATGACACAAATTTAAAAGAAGTTTTAAGTTTAATTGTTGATTTCAATTCTGCTTTTACCTTGAAAGTCAGATTTTAATTCAGCTTTTAGCTTGAAAGTCAGATTTTAGCATTCAAAATTTGAATTGATATCTTTTTAAAAGACATTTAAGAAACTATGTTTTTGAATAGACTTGAAGACATAGAAGCTACTTTTTTGCTTGAAGACATTTTTTTGCAGCTGTATAACACAAGACATTAGATTTTAAGTTGTGCAATCTTTTTTAAAAACTCTTGGTTGTAGCTGTCACTTTAATTATGTGCATTAATTAGTTCTCCAAGTGTAAGATCAACTTACTGAGCTGACATTGGAATGATGCCCTTTGACCCCACACCAACTGGGATGTGATCAAACAGGCACTGGGCCAGCTGTTCTTTCAGAGCTTGCACGTCATTCAGGTGAAGATTGGTCCTCAGTAGCCGCACACCACAGTTGATATCAAAGCCTACACCACCTGGCGACACTACTGACTTGGGATCACTCATATCAAAGGCTGCAATGTTTCCTGAGGGATTAAATTTTAAAATCTACATTAAGTACATTTTGAGTCAATTAATAAGTTATTTTTTCTTACTGAGACATACCCACACGTTTTTTTTTTTAAAATGACAACTTTCTTTACTAGCATTGTAAAGAAAAATATGGCTAAAATTTCTTGAAGGAAACAATATAAACAATTTGATGATCCTACAAAAACATTTCAAAACATAAAATAATAAAAACATAAGTATTTTACCAATAGCGAATCCATATCCAGAATGTACATCAGGCAAACCAATAGATCTCTGTAACAGATGATGTAACAGCATAAGTTTATGATAAACATTTTAAATTCATCAATAAAGTATATGAAGGGAGCACGATGCTGAGGTAACTATACTTTACCCACACTAGAGTCATAGCTGTAAGGTTTAACTATATGAGCTTGTCTAAGTACCAAACATTAGGCCTTCAGATAGACAATTACATGCTCTACCACTTTATGGTCCTGAAACTAAAGACATACCCCAACAATTCCAGGTAGTGCAGCCACATTAGCAATTTGTTTCATTCCTGGCAAAAACCCACCGAATCCTTTGCTGTTGCATGACTGCTTGAGTTCATCAAACATTAATTTCTCCAACGAAGCATTCACATAGAAGTATCCATCAACCTAACAATAAATAACATTTTGTGTTAGCAGTAGTGCTAAAAAAAAAATTCCATTCCCCCGGTCTAATTTATTAAACAGTCAATTTTTTACAATGTATGTGATGGATAGCAAGGGCAAGGATTTCATTCTAGTCGGAAAGATGTTACTAAGCATGATTAGCTAGATTTCTAATGTGTACAAACTTTAAAGATTTCAGTATGAAAAAAATATATTTGAAAATCACTCTTTTCTTTTAACAAATATAGACTTTAAGGTTTTAAATTCCTTTAAATGTAAATTAAATCTAGACTAATTTTGAAATTCACATCAAAAGAGTTCCTCAATTAAACAATTTCTAAATATGATATATAAAAAAAATGTGTAAAGATAATTCCAGCATTTAATATAGTTTGCAATGAATTTATATTTGAAATTGCATAAGAGAAACAAACAGGAAAAATTACAGGCTAATGTAGATGTTAAACAATGCAACAGAGAGTGAAATTTCTTTAATAAAATACAGAAAACAGCAACATAGTATAAAAACTTATATCTCTAATAGTTATACCTTCATATTGTCAACAAAACCCTTCTTTATGTGCCAACAATTGCTAGTTTCCTTTTCCAGGAACTTCAGTTCTTCTTGATATGTTCGCATTTTCAAACTTCCAACAAGAGCACCTGAAAAAACATAAAGATAAAATTTTACTATATCTAGAATCTATTCTAAAGAAGAGTTTTTCAGTCCAGCTACAGCTTCCAATGGACTAGTCCAGTTTTAAAAAGTGTTAGAATATTGCTAAAGTAATTAGGCTCATAGAGTTTCTACTTTTATCTATATTCTAGTCTAGTCAAAAGAAGACATAATGATAGTATTTATAAGTATTAGGACTAAGTTAAATTAAAAAGTAGATCAAGCTAGAGTCTAGCAGCTATACAAGTCTAGTCTAAAATCTAGGGTCTTAGTAATGCAAGACGTGAAATAGCAAGGCTGTAAAATGTGAGACATAATCTGTGGAATTACGAATAAATGGCGAGACAAATTGGGAGACATTTTTTTGTTTCATTTGGGTTTTTTTTCCTGAGATGTGTATTCATTTTTCTGGATCTAGAGCAGGGGTCTTCAAACTTTTCAGCCCGAGGGCCGCATTAACTATCAATTATGAGTTCGGAGGCCAGTTTCTTTCAGGCATCTATTAGGGGTGGCGCCCCCCCCCCCCCCCACATTCCCCAAAGAATGTCTACCCCCCCTCCAATGAATTATAATTTACATAGAAATATATACAAATTTAATTTGTAGAATGTTTTTCTCATTTGCTTGTCCAACCAAGCCTTTCTTTATGCCACTCATGTACTTTCCTCCATGAATTGTCAGGTAACTGAGGTTAGTCCAGGCCAAGTTATAATTAGCAAATGTTATTTTTTTTTACTAATTGAATATATTCTCTCCAGTAACAGTGCAATATGTGCTTTGTAGGGAAGCCAGCTCTTGTGTTATGTTCATGTCTTCTTCCACACCTCTAATGAACACAAGCAGTTGAGAGGTGAAACAGCTGTCCAGCGACTTATCCATTGCAATTGAAGAATGGCGAAACTTGCTTGCATTTTTTGCTATTTGAGTCACACTCATTTCTGCAACATGGTGGGCAATTGATTTGAATTTTCGAGGCAAAATTCCTCAGCCACCTACAACAATCATTTTTTTTCCTTGGACAAAATGATCACTGCAGGCCGGATGAGAAGACCTCGCGGACCGCATCCGGCCCGTAGTTTGGAGACCCCTGATCTAGGGTCTGGGTCAAGATCTAGATTTTTTTTAATATCCAAAAATTACAACAACATCTTTGCTCATATGATAACGAGCTCATGCTTTCTTGTCAGCAAAAGAAAAATCCTGTCTCAGCCGAGGGCGTCACTGTGAGTTCAGACAGGCAGTTTTCACACCCTTGTGGCATTTCATTTTTTGTATCTTGCTATTTACTATTTATTTTACCATAGGATCAAGAACCAAGAGTAATTTAGAGTAAGACTAAAGATTTCTTCTAAACTTCTACTACTAGATCTAGTCTAGATTCTATATCTATAACTTATAGAAGTAATTTAAAGTTAAACTTTGTTTAAGTATAAAAAGTAAAGTAACATTACTACATTACATTTTATGTTCTGTTGTTACTTTAAACTTTAACATTACAAAGTTTATCTTTGAACAAGTAGTAGGCTACAAAACATTATTTAGTTTTTAAGTACAACAGATGACTGTGTATAGTGTAGAATCTATACTATAGATAGAGTATCTCAGTATAGTGAGCATTATAGTTATAGATCTAGTGTAGTATACATCTAGATCTAGATAGTGTATTCGTTCGTGTGTTGTGTAACATTGAGTAGACTATTGAGTAGACAGTAGTCTGTAAGACGAGTAGTGATTTGAGTCATGAGTGTGACCAACATAACTTTAATTTCGTTGAACCGGATGGGGGCCCAATTGCTATTGATTATACGAATAAAAACAATGTATCCTGTGTAAATAAAATAGTTCATTAAGAATCTAGATCTACCTAGAAGTAAATGTCAGTAAATGTCAAATGAAATAGAAGAAACGATGACGGCAGCAGACAACGTTAATGCCAAATTAAACCGGAACTAAAAACAAATTGACCGGGCCAAGTAAAAAGTAAACATAATAGATTTTAATAGGCTATTCATAGGTTACATTTAGACAATTTAATTTAGTAGATGTAGACTCTAGCTCTAGATCTATAAATCTAATAGACCAGAAATTTATTAATGTATTTTAGATCTAGAATCTAAATCATTAAAAAAAAATATTGGACTATTACCAAAGTGTTCAACTCAAAGTCTGATTTACATCATAGATCTATCTAAATTTAGATATAGTTTCTGTAGGTCGTAAATGGCGTCACATTCCTTAATGGAAGGGGTGTTCGTCCAGTATATTGTGACGATGTGTGATGAGGGTGGGGGGGGGGGGGTGGAGGAAGCTCCTCTGAGAGTGTGAAGTCACGCTTTTAAATTAAAAAAAAGTAAAGTTTAAAACATAATTTTAGCCTTCATTTCGCGTTTTAGAAACCTGTTTATTATAAACTGCAGGCCCTAATATAAATTGTTTAATATATCGAACTCTGTTAATAACAGTTTAGAAAGAAATCGATGTTTTAAAAAAGCAACCTGCAATTTTGAGGGTGTTCTGGCTTTTTGTGACAGCGGGAAAAGGGAGTGGGTAAAAAATCGCCCAAAAAGTGTGGATGACCCTTAACCCAGATTTATGATAGAACTAGCCGTCCCGGCCAGGCCCTGCTCTGGCTTCTGTGAAAAACCTTTCTGTTAAAGACCATTACCTGTGTGTTTAGTAATCATCATAAACCCGGCATTGCCCACCCAAACCACAACCAACCAAAACCAAAACAACAAAACGCAAACATAACGCTAACACAATTACAAATACAAATGAAAACAAAAACTTAACAACAAACACAACCACACCCACAAACACCAATACAAACACAAAGAAAAAACAAACAAAAAAGCAAACGAAAACAAAAACCTAACAACAAACCCAACCACAAACACCAATACCAACACAAAAAAAAAATCAACGAAAAAAGCAAACGAAAACAAACCAAATCCAAACGCAAAACCAACCAAAAACACAAATACAAACCCAAACAAAAAAAACACAAACAAAAACGAAAAAAGAAAGAACAAAAACGAACCAAATTAAAACGCAACCACTAACGCAAACCCACCTAAACACAAAGAAAACACTAACGCGAACATAAACGCCCGGGGCGGAATCACCTGTTTTAGCTTAATGAACGACTATAGTACCCCAACTTATTCACAGTCTTTTGCACTCACTTAAACGAACGCGCCTGTTTCAATTTAATAAACAATTTTAATACTCCAAGCTTATCCGTAAAATACCTACAACATTTGCACTTGATCAATCCCCGCTAATTATGTAATTATTTTTTTCCCAACACCAAAACAAAGTAATTAAAAAGTAAATTATTTTCACGGAATGCAATGGGTTTATAAAGGGAAGTAATTGTGTTTTTCCTAATTTATCAAAGGGAAGTAAGTGCTATAGGACTAAATAAAGACATAATTAGAATTTTTGTAAAAGATGATATTTTTTTTAAAACTTGTGTTTAATGAACATGCCGACAATTATTACTATAATTTGAAAAATGAAAATTATTTCCCAACACTTTCAATAGTAATTTTTTAGCTCATAAATTTAGACAAATGCGCACGATAATTTTTCTAACACTTAAAATCGTACAATTCCAACGACATACAAATGCATTACATACAGAACTGAGCTTTATATATTAGATAAACAGTGCGCTCAATAGAGTAATAATTGTTTACAATTTCGTTACACAAACAAACACGAATGGCATTCGCTAGGTGTTGTCTGAAAACCTGTAAGATAACTCTGCAAGGTAATACTCTTTGAGGAGTCGTGGGGGGCGTTAGCATGGGATCATCCAGTTATAATAATGGTTCTGCGTAGTCATCGATTGAAGTCAAGCAGACAGGGTGCGATCTAGGCGGTCGCCTATGGCGCTATCAATAAGGGACGCTAAAACATTTCATGGCCATTATTAAAATATTCATTAATAATTTGATTATATTATATAAACTATAGACAGTGTAATATACAAAGGAGTAGTGATCTATTTGGGCGCCCTGGGCGATATATCAATTTTGCACCCCTCCCCAAATTAGGCCTATTAGCCCTATATAGCTATTCGCGTTGGCGATAAAGCCCCTTCCCCACAATATATCGGCGGCTCATTTGGAAAGGTCGGGCGGGGCGCTTTTTATCAGTCGCTTTGCCTTTTTATTTTGGTCTCACACAACTGATGTAGAAAAAAAATGAATAAGTCCGTAACGCCAAGTAGCAGTTAATGACTTCGACTGTAATTCAGTAATGACCTTTTTTAAATGATATATAGATAGATAGATATATTTTATAGATATATCTACCACGTTTGGCGCTCTATATTGGATCGTCACCAAGGCGGATGCCCCACCCGCCCTCCCCTAGATAAGCCTTTGGTAATAGATTATTATTGTATGTATTAATATAAATATTTACATTTCAGGTGGTTATCTAATTTTGACGTCGATTTAGTCAACGATCGAGCGCATGGTGCGGTGTTTTAAAACTGGTGCAATTTTTATTTTTGAAAGTTTTTTTCAATTAGTAGCTCTAATTAAAAGGCTTCCAACGGAGAAGGCATTCCCCCCCCCCCCCCCCCTACAAATGAGCATCTATTTTCTATATATATATAATTCTCTTCTTGGAGACGATAGAAAACACCAAGCTGTAAGCGCGCTCCCTACCACCCCACCCCTACATGGTCTGGTGAGCTGTGGTTCACGCTAAATGTTTACAATCGTAGAGCCGGGTTTAGTGACGGCTATTAGGGGCAGATAATTTAGTTTGAAACGATTTTAAACTTAGGGGAGGTAACTAAGAGCTGTTTGCTTTCACGGGGGAGGGAGGGATTGGGGAAAGGAGGGGGGTGGTTATCGTCCTTAACGAGCTACTGATAGTGTTTTAAAGCAAATATTTTCAGTGGCAGCATTGTCGAATTCACAAATTATGAATTACTGAAAAGTAGATAATAAAACAACTAAATAGTAGCGGCGTTTGATACGCTGCGGGTCGGCTCGTGTATAATACATTGAGTTTTGACTTTTTTGTGGGCAAGAATAACGCGGTTGTGAGTACAAAGTAAAGATAAATTGTTTAGGCCTACAAGTTACGATTACTTTCGATTTTAGAAGGCACTTTTAAATCTGGAAAGAGCGAAGAGTTCTCTGTGCAGAGAAGACCTACTGTGTTGATCTCAAACTTCAACAAAATAAACTAGATTACTGCGATTCATCTTGACGCAAGATCAAAGCAATGTCGTGTGTGCCGGCAGAAGAAGACGATTATGACTCAGAAGATGGATACTTTGACAACGATGATTACTCCTATGATATTAATAAAAGAAATATGACATTGAATAGCCCTACAACTGCGACTACAACTTCTACAACACAAGTTGATGAAGTTAATAAAGACATTCACATTGGTCAGAAGAATGGAAATCAAAATGGAAATCAAAATATTAATAAACAGGATCATTTTCACAATTTTAAAGTAAGTATAACTAAAAATGAGTACTAGAATCTAGTTCTAGAATCTACTCTAGTAGATCTACTAGGCAACTTGTTTTTACAAAAATCAACCAAAGCACAGCAGCCTTACACTCAGTCTCACAACCACAGTACAGATCTTTAGAATTTTAATAATTTCATCACCTTTTGCCTTTTTGTGCCCAAGCACATAATTTTAATTAAATTATGCCCAATAATTTCATTGTGTTTCTTCATTTTTGTTGTGAATCATGAATCAGCATATTTATCACCTTCATGTTCACATTTTATCATATCACTTTGTTAAATGTATGATGCAAGATTGTGAGGCCTATAGCATTTTTTAAATAAATATCTTGAAATGCCCCTTGCCAACCCCTAATTGATCAAGGCATTGTGACCAATAGCAGAAGTGGTACATTCTAATAATACTTATTAAAGTAGGCCCCTTTGTTGTTCATTGCTAGGGTGTCAAGCCAGGATGATTTATAATGCTGAGGCATGAACCAATAAATGCTTGTGATGTGCTACAGTGGTATTCTAGTAGATTTACTGAAATTAACTAAATCTCTGGGGTACAAGTGAGGCAGCCAATCCATGACACATGCTTGAAATTGAAAGGGCCTAACACTTCATACAATTTATAAGTTATAACATACAAATGTAATGTTCATGGTTTAGTTTACACTTATTATTATTAGTAATAAAGCACATTTGTTATCTGTGTTAAAACTGTCAATGTCAACAATCAAAAGCAGTTTATAGGCTGAGGCCTAGGTCTAGTTCTGCTAGGGATTAAAAGGGTCATTTAGAAATATTGACCACCATTAGCATTAAGATGGCTGGGGTGCCTGCTCAATGCATGTGATAAGCACAAGACAGATTCAACCCATAAAATTTAGGTTGAAAGGAAAGAGGAGAAGGTTGAGTAAATGCTGAAGATTGACAAAAAAACATTGTTAGCTTACTTTTAGTATGAATTTTAATACCACAATTTATAAGAATACTTAAACTAAACTTAAACACATTTGTATTAAATTAAATAGAATTATAAGTGTATAAACATTTATCTTTTTTTTCTAGAGTCAAGAAAAAACTTTTGTACCTGTACATACAAAACATGTAAACATTGTTCGTCAAAGAGAGTAAGTATTTTCACTTTGAGTTTCTAGGTTGATAAAATGACCTAATCATTAGTTCTGACTGTGTCTTATTTAACTGTATACTTCAGCTCTCTGATAATTCATTGTGAAATTTTCTCTTTGTCACAATTAGGGTATCAGCTTCACACAATGGGAAAAACTTATCAAGACCATTTTACTCAAATATTTTTTCTATGGAAGATCTGAAGACAGGAGTTGTTAAAGGGGACTTAGAACTAGTAGAAAAGTGCCTAAATCAAGGTAGGTCAATAATACCATTATTTCTGGTGTATCTGCTAATGAGATGTGTCTAAATAATGGCGAAAATACACATTATTTCTGCTATATCTTTTGTTATTGAGAATTAATACCTAGATAAAGTTGGGGGGGGGGGGGGGGGCTGGTTAGCCAGTAGTGTGCATGACTGTTAACACAGAAGTCTCAAGTTTGGATTCCTGGCTTGGGTCCTTAGGCGAGGTCACAGAAACAAGTGAAGTTCTAAACTCTTAATTTATAATTCATCTACCCCATGAACCATCACATTTTTTTAAAGGGTAAATTTAATGACTACAGATAAAGGTTAGATTTGGCAAGGTTATCAGCTATACAGACTAAAAATATCAGTTACATTTAAATTTAACCTACAGTGGATAAAAAGAACAATACCTATAGATGTGTGTTCTTTGAATGTTAACTTTTACCCCTCTCTATGTTTAGCCCTACCAATCAATGAGCCATACAAAAGTGGATGGTCAGCATTAATGTATGCAGCAAACTATGCGCATCCGAAAGTTGTACAGTGTTTACTGGACAGGGGTGCTGATCCAAAGTTTCACCATGGTAACAAGGATTTATTACCTGTTTGAAAAATTCTTCCATCCAAGATAATTTTTTAAGCATTCTTAGAAAAATACATGACTATCACCTCAGAAATATGTCTTGTTAATTAAGCCCTGTTAAATCTGTAGCTGCAGATTTAGTTCAACATTTGTGACTTAAATCAGTTAACTACCTACTGTAACATTAACACATAAAACAAAAATACATTATTTCTTTCTTCTCTCCAGATATGTTTACACCTCTAATGGCTGCTTGCTCATCAAGTTATTCAGAAAATTTAGACGATGTAACAGAATGTGTTAAAATACTGCTTGCGACAGGTGCTGATATTAATGCAAAAGACAGGTACATTGTTTCAACAAAATCAGCCGTTCTGATCAATATTTAACTACAACTACTGAATCAATCTTTTAAAATTAAAATGTTGATTTAGCAATTTTGTGTACAGAAATAGCATCATAATAAAATATTTATATTCTTGATAATCATTGTTATTGAACCTGATGAGTGGGTTTTTTTCAGACTTCACGCAACACCTTTGATGTTGGCTAGCAGGGAGGGCCACCACGCTGTAGTGAAAGAACTAATCAAAAGTGGAGCTGATATAAATAAACAAGATACTCGAGGGTGGACTGTAAGTTCCGCAAAAAAATATATCTTTCTTCTTTTCACCAGAGAAAAATGTTTACCCATATTTTGAAAATATTTAAATTTATTTTTGCATTAATAATAATTAATTAGGTCATCAGTTTGAAAGGCAAATTGTGTTAAAATATTTAATGCTGGTATTAAGACAGTACTTCCTAATTGGTAGACAGCTGAAAAAAAAGGTCTATATAAGACAGTCCTGTTAATTTTTCTGTTCCAGGCACTGACTTGGGCAGCACAACGGGGACGTGCAGCTGTGGTCATTGAGCTGCTAGAATCAGGTGCTAACCCTAATATCCAACACCATGATAAACTAACTGTCAAAGACTTGGCTGCTAATTTACCTACAAATGAGGTGAGAAAAGATCAGTTTGGTGTCATAAATTGTAGTTCAAGCTTTACCAAAGGCTAGTGTAATCAGATAATTTTTTAAAAAAATTAGAAATGAACAAAAAAGCTGATTTTTCTGCCTAATAATAATAAATAGTTTTTAAATCAGTCAAAAAGTGATCTAAATATCCTGACTGCCTAAGTTTATCCCAGGTAATTGATATACAAAAAAAAATATTACTTTTTTCAAAGATTCTATCTCTGCTTGAGCACGGGTCAAAAAGTGTAACAAATGCAGCAGGAGATTCAGGAAAAGACCAGGCAAAAAATAGCACCACACCCACCACCAAAACATTTGATTGTGGAGATGAACTGCATCAGTCAAAGTAAATAATTTCCAGTGTTGTTTTTTAAGTTTTTTTATAATCTAAAACCAATTTATTGCCTCCAAAAATATTTAAATGATTGATATGTCTTAAAGAAAATTCTACTTTGAAATCAAAATATAAATTATTTGATTCTTAGGTTAATTTAAAGATATTTATTAGTAACAATATGTAAAATACTATTGCTGTCTATTTTAGTTTTTAATAAAAAATAAATTAACATTCAGATTCACAGATCTGAGGTATGGAGAATTAGAAGTTTTCCTCTTGGGACTTGAACTTCCCCACTTAATCTCAGTGTTTCAAGAACAACTGATTGATCTAAACCTGCTCATGACCTTAACAGAAGATGATCTTATCAAGGTAAAGATCAAACTCTTAGCTGGAACATTCTTGTTATATTTTACAAAGCCTTCAAGAAATGGTAACAAAATCTTGTGTTCTCTAGGCAGGTGTGGAGCAAGTGGGTGCTAGAAAAAAAATACTAGACGCTGTTCAAGCTGTCCACAAGAAAGACTGGGAGCCCTCTAGTCTTGTTTCTATTCATTACAATAAAAAGATCAAGTGAGTTAGGATTGGAATTTTTTCTTGCTCTAACTTCATTAGTAAAACAGTTTGTTATTTAGTCGTGCTAGTTTTTTTTTTAAACAACAACCAGTGTCTCTATAATTTAAAGAACTAATTTACTTCAAAGCAGTTTCCTTTCATGGCTATAGCTCTATTTAAGCTCATAATTGAACATACAGAGGTTACTCTAAAATCTAAACATAATTCACTCCATTTCTAAACAAACAGCTGTGCTGATGCAGTTGCCATGATGGCCAACACATCCAAACACCTCCGCTACATCGGCAGCACAGTTGTTTATGTGAGGGAGCACCTTAAGAAACACCCGGACACTGTCACACTCCCAACGGTAAGTGGACCAGTTGTAGTACAGCAGTCACTGTGTTGTGAGAAGTCACTTTACAACTGCTGTGAGAGAAGTAGCTAATATGTAACCTTACAACTGCAAGTATTGCCTACTATATTGTGAAAAGCTGCTAATTCGTAAATTTACTACTACTTGTTCACTGTGTTACTGTAAAAGTAGTATTGTATAGTTGTAGAAATGCTTTTGTTATATCTTACAAAATTTTATGTAAAGTGATCCAAAAAATGTTTTTGCAAAATGTTATAATTTTTCCATATAAAAGAACAAGGACCTTGAGTCACAGTTAGCAATACGTAAGACTTAGTTGTAACTCTTAAGAAAATTGCCTTTATCTTTTATAGGACAGAGTCTCACCTAGTCAGCTAAAGAGACATGTTGTTGACACACTGAAAAATGTTGAAGCTTTGAGGTCACAGCTGGCATCTTTACAGTCAGAGTTAACTCAGGTAACTAAGACAGTAACTAAATAATGTAGCTTTAGTGTGTAGGGCTGATTTATTATTAATTTATCTAAAGGTAACTAGAGGCTGGTTTTGTTAATAATTTGACTTAATATTTTAGCTCTATTTGTATAATTAATTTACTTCAGGTAATTAAAAGGGCTTATTGAGTGGGGGACAGGTTTATTAATCTGATTTGAGTCTGTAGGTTGTTACTATTATCTAGCTCTATGTGTTACCTCGGATGTTGTACCCCTTCATAAGGAGTACAGCAGAACTTGTATTGTTTTCAGTAGTAATAGGGTGTAACTATATAGACCACATTTTGTTCAAAATGTTATGGCAAACTATTTTTTTGTTGTTACGGAATCAATTGAAGCATTTTGGTTGTTGAATTTTGTGTTTAGACTATTTTAAAACCACATGTAGCTAATGCTCATTCATCCTTACAGGAAATGAAGAAAAGAAAGTTAGATCCCCCAGATCTTGTTGAGAAACCCACCCTCAAGAGAAGTAAAACACAGAAAATAATAATTGCATCAGTTGTGCTTGTCTCATCCTGTGTGGCTGTCTACATTTGGCACAGTAGAGAGACCCTCATCTCCTTCATTCCATCTAAAATTAATTCTCTCTTAAACTTTAACATTAAAACATAACATTGACATAAGATCTATTATAACATTAACCCACAGAATCTTATCTAATGTGATGTGCTAGCTAAAATTAAGACTAGTGGAGGTTAATAACTAATAGCACACACTTCAATACTTTTTATAATTAGATTATGTATAAGAAAACTTTATTAGTTCAAAAACTATCGGGCATTCCATCCTTTATAGATTTTGCTACTCTTCATTTACTAATGGCATTTATGGATGTTTGATTTATGTTAATGAAGCATTAATTTTTTTGCTAAAGTGTTCAGCTGGTTCTTCAATATTTTTTATTATTTTGGTCCATATTTTATTCTTATGGTTGTTGCATGTATTGTACAGACTAAAACCTGTTGTTATGGAGATACTTTAAGCCAACAATCCAGAGTTTAAACTTTTTAACTGATAAAAACTGCATTATTTAGAGTATATTTTATATCACAAAGTATGTGATTAATTTTGTGAGTTATAATTGAAGTAAAACACTTTTAGGGGGTTGTAAATGTAAGTAAATGACATCACAAACATGGGTAGTAGGCAGCTTGGCAATTTTAAATAGTTTGTTGTAGAAAAAAAAATTAAATCATTTTTTATGCTTTTAAGTAGTATTGTTGGATTTGTACTGTCAAATTATCATTCAGGGGCATATATTAATTCCAAAGATTTTATTTAAAATATCCTGTATTCTAAGAATAATTGAATGAAATTTACATTGCCTTTGAGGCATTCATCTTGAAAGTCCCTCAATGACTTAAGTTGGCAATAAGACTTAACAGTTGTCATATCTTCATTTTGATATCAGCTATAAAAATCCATGATATTATTTTCCCAAAATATTTTTACTTTTGAAACTCATTAACTTTTAAGACAGAGTAAATAATGAAGTGTATTGTATTACAATGTAGATAGACATTTTTGTATTATTATTTTTTCAAAGTGGTATTAAGAAAACGCTCAAGAGATTAATTTACAGTCATATTCTTGCAATCCTTGTACAGATTATTTTTGTTCAGTATTTTATATTCGTTTTTTTCTAACAATTATATAGCCAACTTCTATAATTTTGTATTTAATTAAAGAAATTTGATCAACCTTTCCCATAACTTTAAAAAGCCTTTAATTTATATTAAGTGATTATTCTGTGTTCTACAGGGTTTTTAAAATGATTGCTTTATATTTTCTAAAAGGTTTTTAAAGATGTGAATCCATAATTTATTTGTATATAATACTGTATATTTTACAGCAAAATGTCTCACTTCAAATGATACTAAAAATTTTCTCATGCTAAAATAGAAAAAATATTTTAGTGAAAAATTGATTCATTGTATAGTTTCATTTTTTATGTATAGACCTGTTATTACAGCTTATACCACTTTGGCATCATCTAGAAAAAGTTGTAATAGAGGAGATTTTATGTTACTTTGGCAACAGGAACCCTTCAATTGATATATAATGGTTTTTAATCAGGTTGTGTAATTATTTTAGTTGGTTTACTAGACTAGTGTCACAATATTGTAAACATGGTACTTAATGAGAAACAAGTCAAGGTTACATTGTGTGTTTATAAGCATCAAATTATAAATTACACCAGTAGATGAAGACACCAAGAAATACAACTCTGGTTGTTTTTATACAAGTGTTTTCATTTGGACCATCAATTTTTTTATCAAAATACATTTAACAGTTACTACTTATTGTAAAGCTAAATATTGTACAGAAATTTGGTGAAACATAAGTTCAGGGAATTTGGTTCAAGTGAAAGACAAAATGCTATGGTTGTGTTTCCTGTAGCCTTATTGTTAAACTCTTTCATTGCTTTTATCTGTGATGAATTTAAAAACAATGGAGATAGAATCAAGTTTGCAATGTCATTTGTTATAAATTGTTTGATTTAAAGAAGTGAATTGTTTTAAAAACCCCTTGTAGAGAAATTTTTTAAGCCTGTAAAGATTGCTGTCACATATTTGTAATTTTCATTATTATTGTTGGTAGATAAACTGGTGAATATCCAGTAGAGTAAATATGTTCACTTTCACATGGATTGTTTTGTTATTGATTTGTTCTGTGTTTGATACATTGAAGACTTGATAGCTACATGTAGATAAATAGAACGTTCACTTTTTATGTTTTTAAAAATTAGTCTGAACAAGCCGACCTGGGGTCGTAGCATACGCCGTTATTTAGTTGTTTTATTTTCTACTTTTCAGTAATTCATAATTAGTGAATTCAACACTACCAATGCTGCGCCTGAAAATATTTTGCCTTAAACCCCACTATCAGAAGCTCGTGAAGAACAATTATTCTCCCCTTTCCCCCCATGAAAGATCAATAACTTGTTATCTCCCCTTGGTCTCAACATTTATAAACTAAATTATCTGCCCTAACAGTCGTCAGTAATTTGATCTGGCTCTACGATAGTAAACATTGAGCGTGAACCACAGCTCATCAGACGGGTGGTGTAGATAGCGATATGGTTTGTTGCGCATGCCTGGGAGGGGATTGGAGGAGGGTTAGATAGTCGGCTTGCGTGTGTGGTGGTGTCCACATAGAGAATTATATATATATATATAGATGTTTTAGTTATTTGATAACTATTTACTCTTATGAGATATTTTGATGCATTTGATGTTTAGTTCCAAAAACAAATAAAGCTTTCTGACATTTCTTGAATAAAAAATTTGGGAGCAAATTTGTTATTCTGAAAATTTTAATTACACACTCACTATATTTACACAATCCCAATTTCTCAGAAACAGACACAACATGACCTAAGTTAAAAACCAATGTTATCTAATCCCTATGTTGTCTCTAAGAAAATCAATAACCGCCGACGTGCTTGCTAAAGAGTTAAAAACATTTCTTTCCGCTTTAGGCAGCAGGTGCTCCATCATGAAGATAAGGTGGTGGTGAAAACAGGAGAATGGGGTGCCCAGAGATAAGGAAATGTCAACCTAAAACAAACAAATTTTATACCATTTACTCAGTGAAATGTCAACTGAAAACAAATTTTATAACATTGACTAACACTGAATAAAAACATGATTAAAAAAAAAATTACATAATAAATTAGCTGTCTACCAAAGAACATGTTTTGTTTTCTTACCCAATCTTTGATACACTGAATGGGGGTTTCATTGTACCCAGAAAACATGGCAGGATTGGCAAGGATACCTCGTGCTGCCATGGCACCTGCAACATTAAGTATAGGCTCCAAATATTGTTCATTGGAATAATTTTTATTTACAAGATTAATCTAGCTATCACATTAAATTGATGGTTTAAAAAAGTAAACTAAGTTCGTCAATATTTTTATTTTATCAAAACAAATATTTTTACTTGCCAAGTTTAATTTAAGACAAAGACAGTCAAATTGCAAATTTTAAAAAATTCTGTCAATGTAGCAATATATAAAATAAACCTTATTAAAATAACCACTAAAAAATCATTACCATCAACCCCAGTGTTGAAGTGCACTCTGTTGGCGTCATCTAATGACCGAATGTCACCATTAGCCACAACTGGGACCACTACAGACTCTTTTATAGTTCTTACAGCTTCCAGATCCACAGGCTGGCACCTCTGGTCCTTTGTTCTGCCATGAACAGATATGAAAGACACACCCATCTTTTCAACTTTCTGACACATATCAACAGTTTCCCTGTGGTAGAAAATTCAATCAGTATTTGGTTCAAAAATGTTTGTAGACTTTCATGGCATTTGAATACAAAAATAATGAAAACCAAATGCAAATTGACAAGAAAAAGTAAAATGAAAACCTTCAGTCAATTTGAATACATTGTGACTTCTAGTTCTATCCAGAAGCATATTAATTATAATAGTATTTTTTATTGTAAAATTTCCCCATACTTCAGTAACTTACAACAGCTTAAATGTTACAGTACCTTATATCAGGATGGATGCGAATTTTTATAGACACTGTAAAATCATCTCTTCCTACTCTGTTTTTTGCATTCTTTATCATATCACACAGCAAGTCAGGCTTTTTCATTAGGCAAGCACCATATCCTTCAGCCATTGCCCATCTGGAAGATGAAATGGGACAGTTTACCATGCATTGTTTATGAATGTTGCAGTAGTGTTAAGATAAACTCTTTGCAGCAAGTTTGGGGGAGATATGGGTTCCAAAATAAAATAATATTACAGCTATTATATTTTTATATTTACAATTTCAAAAGTTTAAATGTAACATTAAGTATTATATTTTTAAAATAGTTTACATTTATTTATATAAACTATTACTAAATTAAAACTGAACTTTTTTGCAGACTATTTTTTATTTTTCAAAGTGAAACCTGAATGTGATTTTGTTATATTAAACATTTAAAAAACATTTCAACTTTTATAGATCAAATGAATGTGTTCCACAATTATGGTCACATTTCTGTATGCATGGAAATTTTAAATGTTGACAGCAGTGCTTGAAAATAAAATCCAAGCTATGGAAATAAAATGTTATAGGAAGTTACTAGAAATCTCATACAAAGATTAAGTATGAACAGAGCCAGAGAAAGAAAAAGAGGTAGGTGAAAGAAAAAAGTTGGGAAGACAACGTCAGACAATGGATGGATCTATAATGAGACAGGCAATGAGGAAGGTGGAGGACTACAAGACAGAAGAAGAAACTACTAAAAATAAATTTTACCTTTGAGGACATCCACAATTTAAGTCTACGCCATCCGCAAACCTAGAAATTTGTTTAACAAAAGTATGTTAAAAGCATGATTTCTTAAAACATCTTATCTATCATGGTGTAAATTATGGCATTTTAAATATCAGCTGTAGGAAAATTTTAGAAAAAGTTGCCAATTAAAAACAATGGAAAAAAAACTTACGGAGAAACCAACTCTGCAGCATTAGCAAAATCTTCACTATTGTTGGCTGCAAACTGGACTATTAGTGGTCTGTCATCTGTTAAACAATACAACTATACATTTTCTCACATTTTTAACAAATTCAAAGAATTTATATTCAAAAGATATACAGTTACTAAGACTGAAAACAATGATCATCACTATCACAGATTCTGAAGATACAGAAGAATTTGGTCAAAAGTAGATGTTAAAGTAGATCTGTGATAGTCTTAAAATTGTTTGTAGATGACAAAATCTAAACTAAAGCTTTCAGTTTAGATCTTTTCTTCTTTCTTCTTCTTCGTTCTTAATTATTAGTGTTGAAGGGGATCGAGATGTATCTGCCAGTGGGTTTGAACTCGAGACTTTTTCCGAATTTATCAACCATGAGCTTTTTGCCGACTCGACCACGCCTCCAACACAATTAAGCGTTACGTGTCAACTGGTTATGCGCCATTGAGGCCATTGACTCCGATTTCAGTCTGCTTTTCTTTTTGGATTTGCTCCCATAGCCTTTGTCCAACCAAGAACAAACTACAAGGCAGCAGTTGTTTAATTTTGGAGTTGTCTCTCCTAGAAGAGTGGCTGTCCCCAGCTAACGAGCCTCATCTGCCCGAGGGTTCATCAGTTTAGATGATGTTGTAGATGAAATAAAAAGAAAAACTGACCAAAACTTGTGATGAAATCATTATCCCTTGCTTTCTGGCTCTTGACAAAACTTTCAGAAATAATCATTGGCGTGAAGGATAAGTCACACCCATACTTTCTCACCAGTTTTCTAAAAGCAAGTCTAATTGAGAGTAAAGTAAAAACACTATTAAAAAAATGATACAAATATATACAAGAAGCTGTAGTATGTTGTTAAAACATATACTACTGTGAGTAATTTTACATATTTATACTGTTATAAGCCTAGTTGTAAAGTGAATCAAGATACATTCATCATCAAATATTACTGTCTATAAAAACTAAATAGAAGATTCTTGCTGATGACACAAAATATCAACTTTACTTCATCTGCCCACAGACACCCAGATTGTAAAGACAAACTTTATGTACTTTTAAAAAAAATGTCATAACCATTTTATTCTTCATTTATTAATGAAGGATGCTAGATTAATTCTCAACACTTGTTTATAATGACTTGAACTTACTTTGAGTAGCGAACCATTGGGGCGCAGATTTTGACAACATCCTTCTGTTCAAACAACTCCAAGGGTCTCAGATAGTGGAACTGCTGTGTTTCTTCATCATCAAACTGTTGCGTTGTCTCACTCATCACAACTTTTCAACTATGTGTGAACAATTTTTTGACAAATTAAAAAAAATGTCAGCATGTTAGCTCAAATGTTTTCTGATTGTTAGGCTTGTTTATGATTATTTATTAGGCTATAAAATAATAACTCATCCTGTGCTAAAGCGTGAGAATTCTAATAGTTAATAGATCTAAATGAGTCTTCTCTTTATCAATAGGAGTATTAAATTTATTAATATTGTGGGACAGTGTGGTCGGTTAGTTGAGCATACACCTGCTAATTTGAAAATATTGAGTTCAAATCCTGGATTTGTGACACAGTGTCAGAACATTCCCAAGTCCACCCAGCTCTGTGGGGTTGGCTGACTCACGTTAGGGAGAGTGAAGGTTGCTGGGCATAGTGCTCATTATCCCTTCAATCTTCATATATGCCGATGTCACAGAAACAGGTAAACTCAACTATTTCACCTGCTTCATGGAACGTCAGCTTTAAAAGTATTATAATAAGTGGTGAAGTAGCTCTAATCACTAACAAAAGGGTAACAGTAGGCATACTTATTACTTAAGTGTACTATTAACTCTACCTCTTTAATTTCAAACTTTATATTAATTTTTGGTACGTTTTAGGAACGTAAAATCATCCGAGACTAGTAATGTAAAAAAAAAGGTGACTCATTAAATTTTAGAAGGCCTAATTATTTCACATTTTTATGAGGATTTATGTTTCAAAAAATGCTCAAAAATGTTAAGAAGTTTCATTCATGCACCTGTTTTTAAAAAATTGTATTAAAACTTTTTAGTAATAAATTAAGACTAGCGATGTTTTCATCATTCAGATGCAACAAAGCTCATTTACTTTACTTTAGCTGCTTTTAGCAGCCATCTTATAAGTTTTTTTGATCATTAGAGATTCAGGAGAAACCACTCTTTGCCGCTGTTGAATTGTTTATATAGCAAAATCTTGCTTGCAAACATTGCTGTCAAAAGTTAATTTCTGGCCTATAGGGGCCTATTGAATCATTGATATATTAAATTAAAATATATCTAGTCATTGATTTTAGTTTATCATTCAGTTATCTATAATATTTGACACAATTATATCACAATCTATATATAATTCTCTTCTGGGAGACGCTAGAAAACAAGCTGTAAGCGCGCTCCCAACCACCCCACCCCTACATGGTCTGATGAGCTGTGGTTCACGCTATGTTTACATTCGTAGAGCCGGGTTTCGTGACGGCTATTAGGGGCAGATAATTTAGTTTGAAACGATTTTAAACTTAGGGGATGTAACTAAGAGGAGGCTGCTTTCATGGGGGGGGGGGGGGGGGGGGGGGTGTAGTAGGGTAGGGGTTGGGGGGAAAGGAAGGTGGGGGTAGTATCATCCTTAACGACCTACTGATAGTGTTTTAAAGCAAATATTTTCAATGGCAGCATTGGTACTGTCGAATTCACAAATTATGAATTACTGAAAAGTAGAAAGAAAGTAAAACAACTAAATAAATAGTAAATAGCGGCGTATGATATGCCGCAGTTGGCTCGTTTATTATATAAGCCTATTACCTATTAAAAGCCTTAACATAATAACATTGCCTACAAAATGAATGACAAATGAATGAGGCAACTTTTTTTCACATTACTAGATCTAGAGATCTAGATCTAGATCTGACGGTAGATCAAGATCTATTCTCTAGATCAGACTAGTCACTAGATCTAGTACCGTACTAAAGTCTCGGTACGTAAAATGCCCTACTGCTGTCCTGATGAAATAAAAAACAAAGAAAGGCCAGAGTTTTGAGCAATGTGTAGTATTGTGTAGACCTAAATACATTAGTATGTGATCATTAATCACTAAGTCTAGTGTCATTAGTTACCTGAATGTAAAAACGAAAGTACAGTAAGCACTGGCAAACTGTGAGCTAATTTTCAAAACTAAGGACTTACGATAAGAATAAAAAGTTAATTCTTTTTTTTTTTTTGAGAGTATACGAAACAAAACTTCACGTCCCCCCCCCCCTTTTCATCTATTACTACTAATAAGCGTGATCGCAATATTTATTGATCTTATATTTTTTTTTAATATTTAGACGTTTTGTATTAGATCTATGTATAAGTAAACCATCTTAAATGAATGAAAGTAGGCTACAAGTAAGAAAGAAATATTACTATTGTAAATCTGTATCAGTCCTCACAAGCCGGTGATGAAAACTGTAATACTAAAGCGAACACACACAACTGACGCTGTAAATTACATGTCTGGGGCAAAAAAAAAAAGTATTTATTGATCTTATTGTTCAGATAATACACTTTTTAAAAAAGGCGGGATAAGAAAGGATATATTGTGGAAAAAATTAGAAATCTAGTATCCTACGCTTATTTTTACAATAACGTAGGCTATGAATTCCCCCGTCATGGTCAGATTTATGAGACCCACATGTACTGCATTTGATTTAGACCTAGATTTTCTAGATCTAGAATAATTTAGTATTTTGATCTAGCTAGATCTAGATTTACACGTGTGTATTAGGCCTACAATAAGCTACAGCTTTTTGAGCATAAAAGTAGGTTACTGGATAAAGTTACTCGAAACATTTTAAAATATAAATAAATCATAGTGACCCATTCTATTCCTTCATTCAATATAGAAATTATTACTAAACTCAGAAAATGATTTTCACCGTGTGTTGAGGTACTCACGTACAAGTTGTCGTGGCCGAGTGGTTAAGGCGATGGACTAGAAATCCATTGGGATCTTCCCGCGCAGGTTCGAATCCTGCCGACAACGAATTGTTTTTACAAATCAGTGTATCATTACGTCCAATAATACTTCTGCAAAACCTGTCTACCTGAGTGTCACAAGGGTATTTAAAAATACATCACATTTCAAGCATTTCTTAGTGACAGATTCGTTTCAAACTTGGCATTTGCATTAATTACATAAAAGCTTATTATTAAAACGTTTGTATGCATATCAATACTTAAAAATGCATATTTCCAATAGAGTTGCATGACTATTGCGCACAAAACGCCGCTATTTAGTTGTTTTATTTTCTACTTTTCAGTAATTCATAATTTGTGAACAGAGTTTCTTGAATATATAGAAAATATATACTTTTAAAAGTGTCCCCCCCCCCCCCCCCCGAAGAAAGCCCCCCCCCGGAGAAAAAAGTCTGGAAGAAACATTTCGGAAATTTTAAATTTTTTTAAAATTTAAAATTAAGTAAGCATTCAATTAAGTTAAATTTAATTTCATATTGCATTGTTTTCAAGTCTTAAACCTAATTTTAGAGAAATTGGTCGATTAGAAGTGCTCGAAATTTCGCTCGCCCGTTTCGATCTATGACAACAAAAGCGAGAAAGTTGTAAAAATTACATTTTAAAAAAAATAACATAAGAAAAGTGTGGGTCACTATCTATTGGATACCTACTAAAATTTAGGAAGAGATCCAGGCTTTTCTTTATATTTATTATTATATAAATTATAAAAGCATGTTATTAAAGAGTTTTTATGCATTTTTTTTAAAAGTATCAAACACATAACTAAAAAAAAATATATATATTTTTAAGTGAAAATTTCAACAGCATCTCTCAAACACATACAGTGTTGTCATCAGTTGCCACGACTTGATAACCACCAATTATTTACCTACGTCAGTTCTTATTCTTGCAGTAACAAAACTTTTATTTTTAATTAATCGAATGAGTTGCTAAGCATCACAAAGTAAATTTCACAAAGCCCTAACCCGGAAAAAACGTGTTAATAAAAAATACTTCGACTAGAAGTAGTTTCAACTCACCGAAGCACGTCTGGTCTATAGACTGGTCAATAATTATTTCTACAGAGCTAGGGGTCGTCCATAAATAACGTCACACTTGTAGGGTGAAGGGGGGGGGGTCGTAATTTTGTGATGGTGTGTGATGAGGGGTAGGGGGGGTTCAGATGGTGTAACGTCATACTTTTCAGCTGTTATTTCGTGTTGACAGAGTTAAGACAAGTTTTTGTAAAAATATGGTATTTTAAGAAAAATTAAACTGCAATTTTGAGGGGGAGTGGGGGTGGGGGTGGGGTGGGGTGGGGGAGAGAAAGCGGGTAGTAGGCTGAGGTGTAAAATCTTTTTAGGGGGAAGGGGGTCTGACTTTTTGTGACGATATGTGAAGGAGGGAAGGGGGGCAGTGGCAAAACCAGGATCGTCACATGGGGGTGTTCAAATTTTCCCATATATATATATATATATATATATATATATATATATATATATATATATATATATATATATATATATATATATATATATATATATATATATATATATAAGTATATATATATGGTTCCATGAATAATGTTCTCAGGACAAATGATCTCAGACAAAATATCTCAGACAAAATTTATCACGGACAAATGATCTCAGGACAAATGTTCTCAAGACAAATGATCTCAAGGGCAAATTATCTCGGACAAAATATCTCACAGCAAAATTTTAATAGTAGGCCTATATACGATAATTTTAGTTGATTTGAACATTTTTATTGACTATCATATGGTTTTGTTTACTTTTTTTTACGCATAATCATTGTGAGTAAAAATGAATTTGTCAAACTAAACAAAACATCAAAAGATTTATTCAACTTAATTTTATAATAGTATTAGATTTGAAAACTCCTTTAGCTTGAAATGTATAATAAATGATAATGTATAAAACAAACAAAGTAAAGGTAGTTATACAACATTAATGTTCGAAACACACGAAGTATTTTTTCAAAAATGTGAATGGGTCTCCAGGTTTGTAATGTTAAACCATTGTTTTTATTGCATCATCAACACAAATAAAATGCTTACGTTTCTTTGCTGGTAGGTGCATCGTTATGATCACACCTCTCAATACTATGTCGTCATGCCTTGTGTGAACTCTTGCTCGATATGTTCTAACTTGACATTCCCAAACCTATTTGCCTGCACTTCTGGTTTTTATAAACATAAATTCATCAGAAACTAATGTGCTAAAACCTTTCTGCGATGTAACGAAAGAGGCCATACCTTGGTAATCACCACTAATAGTGCCTTGCTCGCGTGCACACTACGACAAAGTGGACTCCGGCGCTGACCGCTGTCGTTTAAATAATCATTTATCACATGATCACTAAAGTGTAATCAAAGCATAACTATTGACAACCTTTGGTCAATTATCCAACCCAGCGTATACCTAGGTGGGACGTTAATGTCGCTTTGCCCAATTCCGGTCCCGGTTTTGGTGGTTCGGTGGGAACCAACTCAGAGTGAGCTTAGAGTCAGGTTTAAACCCCTACCCCTACCCCTCCCGTTCCCTGCCTTCACCCCCCTACCCCTCCCGTTCCCTGCCCTCACCCCTACCCCTCCCTGCCCTCACCCCCTACCCTTCCCTTACCCCTTACCCCTCCCCTCACCCCCTACCCCTCCCATTCCAACCCCTCCCATTCCCTGCCCTCACCGCTACCCTTACTCCTCAAGTTCCCACCCCTCACCCCACCCCTCCCGTTCCCACCCCTCACCCCTTACCCCCACCCCTCCCGTTCCCACCCCTCACCCCTCACCCCTACCCCTCCCGTTCCCACCCCTCACCCCTCACCCCCACCCCACCACTCACCCCTCACCCCTCCCGTTCCCACCCCTCACCCCCACCCCACCCCTCACCCCCACCCCTCCCGTTCCCACCCCTCACCCCTCCCGTTCCCACCCCTCACCCCCACCCCTCCCGTTCCCACCCCTCACCCCTCACCCCCACCCCTCCCGTTCCCACCCCTCACCCCCACCCCTCCCGTTCCCACCCCTCACCCCCACCCCTCCCGTTCCCACCCCTCACCCCCAACCCTCCCGTTCCCGTTCCCACCCCTCACCCCTCACCCCCACCCCTCCCGTTCCCACCCCTCACCCCCACCCCTCCCGTTCCCACCCCTCACCCCCACCCCTCCCGTTCTCACCCCTCACCCCCACCCCTCCCGTTCCCACCCCTCACCCCTCACCCCCACCCCTCCCGTTCCCACCCCTCACCCCCACCCCTCCCGTTCCCACCCCTCACCCCTCACCCCCACCCCTCCCGTTCCCACCCCTCACCCCTCACCCCCACCCCTCGTTCCCACCCCTCACCCCCACCCCTCGTTCCCACCCCTCACCCCTCACCCCCACCCCTCCCGTTCCCACCCCTCACCCCTCACCCCCACCCCTCCCGTTCCCACCCCTCCCGTTCCCACCCCTCACCCCTCACCCCCACCCCTCCCCTCACCCCCACCCCTGCCCTCACCCCCAACCCTCCCCTCACCCCTCACCCCCACCCCTCCCCTCACCCCCACCCCTCCCGTTCCCACCCCTCACCCCCACCCCTCCCGTTCCCACCCCTCCCGTTCCCACCCCTCACCCTTCCCGTTCCCACCCCTCACCCCCCGTTCCCACCCCTCACTCCCTACCCCTCCCGTTCCCACCCCTCAACCCCTAACACCACCCCTCCCGTTCCCACCCCTCACCCCCTACCCCTCCCGTTTCCACCCCTCACCCCTACCGTTCCCACCCCTCCCGTTCCCACCACTCACCCCCACCCCTCCCGTTCCCTGCCCTCACCCCCTACCCCTCCCCACCCCTCCTGTTCCCACCCCTCAACCCCTACCCCTCCCGCTACTACCCCTCACCCCTACACCTCCCGTTACCACCCCTTACCCCTACCCCTCCCCACCTCTCGCCTCCCTACCCCTCCCACCCCTCACCCCTCCCGTTCCCACCCCTCACCTTCTACCCATCCCGTTCCCACCCCTTACCCCTACCCCTCCCGTTCCCACACCTCCCCCACTACCCCTCCCGTTCCCACCCCTCACCCCCTACCCTTCCCGTTCCCACCCCTCACCCCCTCCCCTCTCGTTCCCTCCCTCTTACCCCCACCA